GGACCATTGGGGGGGCACATAGGGGGAAGGCAGGATTGGGGGGGCTAGATTATTGGGGGTGGGCTGGTTCAGGGGGGAGCAGGATTGTGGGGGGGGCTGGACAATTGGGAGGGAGCAGTGGGAGGGTAGGATTGTAGGGGGACGAAGGAAGTGGAGCTGGACAATCCTGCAGGGAGTGAGTGAGAAATGAAGCCCATGGTGGGGGAGGGAGGTTGGGTCTCCTTTGAGGGGCACTGGCCCAAGGGGCAGCACTGGATGAATTAATCCAAGGTGGGGAGAGATGGGGGAATCCCTCAAATCTGGGCACTAGTCCTGGGTTTCATACTGGATGATCCTGGGGCTAGGGTGAGAGATGCAGTCCATGGGAGGGGCAGCTGTTCAAGGAGGTGGTGCTGGAGGAGGGACTATAGAGGTGCCAGCAAGCTCAGGTAGTTGACTCATAGTTTCATCAAAAAAGATGGGAGAAGAGTTTGATGTGTCACCTTGAAATCTCTCAGATTCAGTTGGGTCAGCCCCATTGATTGAGGCATCCCTATATTCAGCTCTCGGATGAGAATTTGCAGACCCAGCCTATCCCCTACTTCCCTACCAAAAAAACATTAGCTTCCACAAGGATAATTAGCAAAAATACCACCTGATAGGAAGCAAAACATTGCCCTATTGAAGAGGGGCCTCTGTATGCTTCCAGCAATGGTGGGAAAACAAGCATGATTTCCCTCAAATGCAACGGAAAAGTTTTCCGTTAAAAGCGTTTGCGGAAAAGAGCATCTAGATTGGTACGGACGCTTTTCTGCAAAAGCACTTTTTGTGGAATGTTGCTGGACCAGAGATTGTCCACGAATGTTGCTGGATCAGAGATTCAACCTGTATTACCCATTACAACTGTGACTACATCAATTAAAATATATTTTCTGTGCGGCTTCTCTCCTTGCCAGATTCCATAGATCACACACTTCTGGCTCAAATTCTTCTACCTACTAGCCATATATTCACTCACCTTAATGAGTTTAGTAACTCACCTTCATGAAGTGTATAAAATAATCTATCATTTCAGACACAGATAAAGAATCTCCTCTTTTAGGGAGGAACTGCTATCACACTGGTTCCTGAATGATGTCATATGGATCACTTGTGGTCTTCAGAGTGATTTATTGTGGTCAATGGAGAGCTGGCCACTTGATCACTGCTAGGGTACGTCTAGACCACCGCGTTTTGTCGACAGAAGTTTTGTCGACAGATACTGTCGACAAAATTTCCATCGACAATTTGCGTCCAGACACATGGAGTTCTGTCGACAAAGCAAGCCACTTTGTCGACAGAACTCCGTAGTCTGGACGCAGTGTTACAGGCAATAACACCTTCTGTCGACAGAGTTCTGTCGACAGAAAGTGTTATGCCTCGTAAAATGAGGTATACCAGCATCGACAAAACCGCGGAGTTTTGTCGACGTTATGTCAACAGAACTCCGCGGTAGTGTAGACGCTGGTATTGTTTTGTCGACAAAAGTCCACTTTTGTCGACAAAACTAGGTAGTCTAGACACACCCCTAGAAGCAGCTGGAAACAGGAGGAACATCCAGCACTATCTCTGACTGTACTTGGGACTACTGCTTCATAGAGAGCACAAAACACAAGTGCTCCATTGAAGGCCAAAGACACCACTAACAGTTTATGAAAGTTCAGAATAGAAGGGAACAAAAGGAAGCCAGGTTGCATGTCCAAGAGGCAAAGAGAGAAGAGGATTAGGCAACTGGATATTATTTCTTTGGAAATCAAGAAATAGAAAAGCAGACGCAGATGAGAAATAAGAGGGGGAGATTAAAAGAACAAAAGTAGTGTTCTCTCCACAAGACAAAACACTTACAAGCAGTTACCAATATGAATACAGTCTAGTTTAATTTTTCCTTGTAAGCAACTACAGCCATTTTTGAATTTTGAAGAGAATCCCTGTTACACCTTGAAGTATAGTTTTTATTACACAGGAATGTGATTTACACTGGAAGTTATGCAGACTGTCGGGATTACCTGCACAATTCTGTGTATCGTTAGCTTGGAAGTATTTGATCACCCTGGATTAAAAAACCTGGTACATGTGAAGAACTGTATTTAAAGGCATTTAAGGACTAGCATTCCCTCCCAGAAGGACAGAATAAGGAGGAATTCACAGGAGAGGAATGAAAATAAATCAGAGAATCTCCCTAGACTTTTCCAGTTAAAAGACTGAAAGAACAGTTTTTAGCTAACAAGTGAGAGAAGAAAAGAAAAACGGTCTTTAAGTCTATAAAAGTGCAAATGCAAGGACAAACAGGAATGATTTAGTGTGGCTGAAAGGATCTGCCAAGTCCTGAGGGAAAAAAACATGTTATATATCTAAGTGAATAAGAGGTAGATGCTGCATCTTGGCAGGGGGTAGACTAAATTATCGGCACTGTCCTTTTTAACCCTAAGTTTGAAATAGGACAAAATTAAGCAAGTTTAACACATATGTAGAACAGATACCTAACAATGAGATCTATTAGCACTATAAATCCCACCCATTCCCTCCTCAGGAGCAAGAGAAACACTATTCCTTGCTTCATTTAAAGCTGAAAAGGTTAAAACTGAAAGACAAACCATCCTGCAGTGGTGGGTGGATGGATAAGATGACATCTTTTCCACCTCTAGCTTCTATTCTTTCCTTTTTTCTGCTTCTTGCATAATTCCAAATGGCCTTCTGCAACACACCAGTAGTTTGCTTAATTAAGACAATTAAAATAGACCACCTCAGTCTGAAACTAATTTAAGAGAACCACAGCCATGCTTTAACTCCTAGCCAAATACATTGCCCACAGGAGCCACAAGCTTGAGTAACCTAATCACAGGTGTTTAACAGGCAAAAGTGATAGTCTTCAGGTGCCCTCTAGTGGCTGTTTTAGGTTATAATTGCCTCATTGTAACCCAACAGTTGGCTTTGAAAGGATAACATTTATTTTTCTGGTTTTGAATTTTAAACAAAGGGACAGTTGTTTAATTGTTTTAGAATGCAATGTTTTTGTATTTATTGGAAAATAAAAACTTCATAAATAATGAGTTATAACCTGGTGTATATCAGTTTTCTAAAAATATGGTAATTATTAAAATTATTCATTTGGAAACAGATTTAGAACACATTCATAATCCTTCAGAATTCCAATCTTTTAAATACTCAACATATTTGCATACATTAATGGGTTGGTTGCAACGATGGTAGCTGAAATCAAAGAATTTTGATCTTAGCTTTCAACATTAAAAATATCCAAACACCACACATTTGATTAAAACATCCTAAACATAATACAAATTATGCATGCACAGGATGTAGCCACACTTCTAGGGAAGTGATTTGGTAAAGGAATGTGATTAAGCCTTTACCCACCCCTTTAACAGAGCTGTTTGGCAAACTTCCCTTCCCACACATCACGCTTCAGGGTACGGGTGGTATGGAGACTCAGTATCTTTCTTCCAATACTGAAGTACCAAGTCCTCTTTAGGAGGATCATTTCCTGTGATGTCACAATAGCTATTGTCACAATAGCCCAAAGCAGTGTTCCATTTTTCTTGCTGGAACAGTGACTGTACAGCAGGTGAAGCAGGAGCACAAGTTGAAGCATGCTTATAATAGGCTTTAGCAAGCCAACATCTATTTCCGTGGAACTGAAAAGAATCAATACCTGGATCATTCCCTTTCTGATGTTGCTGGTGGGTAAAAGCGGCCAAGCACATTTTTCAAGCATATTGTAACTTTGGTGAAAATATTAAACAATTAGGATAATTCTAAGAAACATGTTTCCTGCTATTGCTAAGTCAGCAGCCAGCAGAGGAGACTAATGTGGGGAAAGAGGGAAAGACCTGGCACTCACCGGAAGGGTGCAGCCCCCGACTCACCATTAAGGGAAGTGGACCAAGTCAGCCTCAGATGTTTTGCTCAACCAGAGCACTGTTCCAAAGGAGAGAGTGGGACTGGCCTTGAACTCGCCAGCGGGAGTGGAGCAGCTGGAGCTGCCTCGCGTCTCTTACCCTGCTACTGGAGGTAAAAGTGTGCCTGTTTGTGAGAGGGTGTCAGGGGTTGATCACTGCTGCTGCTGGCACCAGCCCCTCTAGCCCCTGTGATGATCTCAATTGGGGGAAGAGGTGGGACAGGACAGAGCAAAGGCGGGACAGAGGCAAAATAATGGCAGAGGTGGATGGGGGTTACCGTGCCCCCACAATGTGTGTGTGTGTGTGTGCGCGCGCGCATGCACATGTGTAGCTGGTGGCCTCTTAGGTCTTCTCTGACCAGTCACCTTTGTTTTTTCTCGTGTGCAATTGTTTATATATGTTACTTATGAGACAAACCCTATAAAATGATTTCCAGGAAGTGAGGTACAAGTGGCACACTACACATTCAAAATAAACCCTTCACAACAGGTAAGAGATTAAACTGCACCTAATAGATATGAACATCATCTCTGTACACATGTGCAATGAATATCCCTCCTATGAAAGGGAAGCCATATCATCAATACAGTATTCAGAGCAATGCAGAGTTATGCAGTTCAGAAGGCATGAAATAATTATCTTTTCATATATTGCAACCCAGGAGCTTTGCAACAGGAAAGATGTCTCTATTCTACAGATGACATATGTAAAATTATTTCTATACCACAATGATAAGGAAGAAAGGCTACTGATCACATACTTCTATGTAGCTCTTCTTTTATACAAGACATTGGCATCATTCTGTAGATAAATGCACAGAAAAAAACAAATTCTTAGGCAGTAATGTAAAATTCTTTTCAGTATGTCCATGGACATTGTTTCTGAAGATTAACAACTTTTTCTTTTCTGGAGGCCAGTCCTAGGTATCAATGGCTGCTTTCCACTTATCCCCATGCTTGAGATTTGCAGTAATGAAGTACAAGTTTACCATCACTTCCAAAACACTATAGGGGAGGTGGTGGAGGAAGAGAGAGGAGAAAAAGAGAAAAGCAACAAGAGGTTAGATTACCAATAAAGCAGTCCATTTGTGAATTAAATCTTCACTATTAGACAAATGCAACATTTGTCATTAGACAAATCATAGAATCATAGAATAATAGGACTGGAAGGGACCTCAAGAGGTCATCGAGTCCAGCCCCCTGCCCTCAAGGCAGGATCAAGCTCCGTCTACACCATCCCTGACAGATGTCTATCTAACCTGTTCTTAAATATCTCCAGAGAGGGAGATTCCACCGCCTCCCTTGGCAATTTATTCCAATATTTGACCACCCTGACAGTTAGGAATTTTTTCCTAATGTCCAATCTAACCCTCCCCTGCTGCACTTTAAGCCCATTACTCCTTGTCCTGTCCTCAGAAACCAAGAGGAACAAATTTTCTCCTTCCTCCTTGTGACACCCTTTTAGATATTTGAAAACCGCTATCATGTCCCCCCTTAATCTTCTTTTTTCCAAACTAAACAAGCCCAGTTCATGAAGCCTGGCTTCATAGGTCATGTTCTCTAAACCTTTAATCATTCTTGTCGCTCTTCTCTGTACCCTTTCCAATTTCTCCACATCTTTCTTGAAATGTGGTGCCCAGAACTGGACACAGTACTCCAGCTGAGGCCTAACTAGTGCAGAGTAGAGCGGCAGAATGACTTCACAAGTTTTGCTTACAACACACCTGTTGATACAACCTAGAATCATATTTGCTTTTTTTGCAACAGCATCACACTGTTGACTCATATTCAACTTGTAGTCCACTATGACCCCTAGATCCCTTTCCGCCATGCTCCTTCCTAGACAGTCGCTTCCCATCTTGTATGTATGGAACTGATTGTTCCTTCCTAAGTGGAGCACTTTGAATTTCTCTTTATTAAACCTCATCCTGTTTACCTCTGACCATTTCTCTAACTTGCTAAGGTCATTTTGAATTATGTCCCTATCCTCCAAAGAAGTTGCAACCCCACCCAGTTTGGTATCATCTGCAAACTTGAAACAGTGTCATCCGTTATTAATATATTCACACAATAGCCATGATGTTACAACAAATTCATATCACCACTTTGGGTACAGCAAGCATACAGTGGATTTAAAAAGACAGACAATTATTCAGTTAGTTTTTACTAAATAAATATTAACAACAATACTAAAAACTGAAGTTACCTCATATAGTGTCCCAACTTCCTGATCTGGAGAAGGAGCAAAGGATTGATTCACATATATAAACTGTGAGGGAAAATAACAGACAGTGAAAAATCTGCCTGGTGAGTTGATCTTCCCATTTATGAGGAGTACTTCTTCAACCCTATATCTGTCAGGGACAAGGTGAAAGCTACCTTCTGTTCCCCATATTTACCTCAGTTTACACATTCAAAGTTCTGCATCAAAGCTACTGTTCTTTAGGAAGAGAGGTACTGCACGGAACCTAGCAATTCTATTCTTTAACTGGCCAACAGGGACTTTGCTAGAATGCCAAACACCCAGAGATGGGTTATAACACAGAAAGCCCTTTGGAGATGTTCTCCAGTATGCTGATTATGTGAGTGAGGCCCGCCTTCCCGTTCTCTAGCATTATACAAGTGCATAAGGAAAATTCAATTGCTTTTGTTTCAAATAAGGTTTTTGAGATTTATTTTCCTGTGTGCACTATAAGTGATGTGTTTCTCCTTCTGTTTTATTATATCTTCCATATCCTGTTAGACAGCTGAGTTTGTGCCCAGCACAACTAGGCTAACCTAATGTAAATGTGGATGCAACTATGCCAATGGAAAAATGTTTATGTTAACATAGCCAACTTTGTTTTTGGAGCTGGTGTTCCTCAGAGGGAAATACCCCTTCTCTCAATGCAGGCTGTCTACACACTCCAGGGTGATGAAAACCTAGCTATACCAAATGTGTACAGGCTCCATAGTCAGCAAGCACAAATTCTCAGGTTCCCTTTGGAGCATTACATCATCACTGTACAAAGCAGCAACTTAGGCAATTGAGGTCACATCTCCACTTTCAGGGCATCCCCACTATAAGTCGCCTTGGTATACATCCATTCTGCACTCAAGTCATTGATGCTTGTAGGAACAAACAAACAAACAAACAAACAAACCCCCAACCAAAAAATTGGTGCAAATGAGTCGGGTGTGGGGGAGAAAAATTTGCTTTTTTGGACCATATCTTGGACTTATAGCAAGGACGACCTGTACTGGGGGATGGATGCTATGGCGATCAAGCCCCCATGATTCGAGTCAGTGGGTCTAGTAAAGACCAAATAAATTGAACACTGAGGGCACCTCCATCAGCACTATCAGGAGGAATAAGGGAAGTCAATGGGAGCGCATTGACTCCAGCCTCAGAATTCACATAGCTGGAGTTACATATCTTGCATCGACTTTGCCCACAAACATAGACCTGGACTTACAAGCAGCCCATAGCATCCCAGTACTGACTGCAGCTTTGCCAGCTCCACAGCTGCACCTCTCCACCTACCTGCAACCCCTGGGATTACCCTGGCACGCCTACATGACACCGAGCTGTGGCAGCTGGCCCGGAGGCTGCACAAGGCAGGGCACGTACCAGCTGCTCGGAGGCCACCAGCTTGAGGAACTTTTTGATGAAGTCAATGAGCCCCTGGATGGTGCGGGTCCGCTCCACCGCCCACTTCTTGGTCTTCATGATCGGCGTGTCCCCCACGGCCTTCAGCAGCATGTCAACTAGGACGGAAGCGAAGACTGAGCGCGGGGAGCGATGGAAACCGGCAGCTGCCGGTGGGACGCAGGCAAAGGGAACAACCCCGGCGCCAGCTCACTCCCCCCCGCACCCGGGACATGGGACCGGCCGCTGTGCCGTGGGCCCGCTCGCGACCGGGAGATACCAACGCGCCCGCAGCATTTCCTCCCCGCCGCACAGCCTCTGCTTTTCCTAATTGGCTGAGCAAGCTGGAGTGGGCGGGCCCATTGGCCAATGGGCCTGGCAATCTGAGCGAACGCCCCTTCTCGCCCCGCCCCCAGGGGAATCATTCTGTTACTTTTCTTCTTGGTATCCTCGGCGGCGGATTCCTCGGTCACCGGGGAGCCAGCTGAAGGGGGAGGCGGCTCAGCAGCCCCCACCGCGGCTCCTCTGTCCGAAGACTCTTCCACACACTCGCCTCGGCCCCCATCCTGAGGAGAGACCGGTAGCTGCTCCTCCACTTCAGACATACTGCTCCCGGACAAGTAAGGGCGGAAGTGACGCTGTTGCGTGCGGCACCATATTAATTCCTGGCGGTGATCACGCAGGCCGCAGAGCAGCCCGCCCTCTGGCGCGTGTTGACAAGCGCTGCCGTTTTCTTGTCAGGTGACTTGGTGTCACGTGAGTAGCAGGAGCGGTTCCGTTTCCGCCCCGGGCAGGAATAGTGCGGGAGCTGCTGCCAGAGCGAAGGGGGAGGGGCAGAGCTCGCAGCGGCCCCCTCGCGCCGCCTCACCATGATCAAGGCGATTCTCATCTTCAACAACCACGGCAAACCCCGGCTCTCCAAGTTCTACCAGCGCTATGTAGGGGCGGGGCTTGCGGGCCTGGGGAGGGCAGGCGCCGCGCG